TTTTATGGGAAAGCACATTCCAGAAATTCAACGTTTTTTAGGATGAAACGCTCACTTAAAGCTACCAATTTTGTATATCTATAATTATGGTTATTATATATAATAACATTGTGTTTTGGAATATCTGGAGGGTAGGGGGAGGGTTTACAAAACTAACTGGCTTATAACATATGAAGAACTGCGAAAGTACAAACTATGAAGAACTGCGAAAGTACAAACTTTACTGCTTTTTTTATGATACCTCAGAAATTAAAATACAAATTAGACTGCTTTGTTTTTGGGGACAATTAGAATTTCAAATATTGACATTATCTAGTTGGTGTGTGGGAGTTGGTACTCTGTCATGGAAAGTATAACTTTGACCTTGAGTGTATGTTGCCATTTAGTACATACTGTCAGATATGTCTTGAACTATTTTGCTGTCATATACATAGTAAGTTTTGGTTGAGGCTTACCAGTGTAGGAGAAATACTTCATTTGTACTCCTCGGTGCTGCACAGTCTTGCAATATACATTGATGGTCTCATTTCTATCATTACTACAAGCACTGTCCCTTTTTAAGCTAGCTGCATATCAGGATATGTTATAGATGGTGCAAGAGCATAATTGATGTAGAGATATATTACAGTAATTGATTTTATAATGATTGATTTACCTATATATAGCTAATATAATGAGCTTATTTTATTTCTATCAGATCAGATCTACCAGTTCATGTTTCAACATGTTCTAAAATATTCCTCTCATACTTATCATATGAATTTTTATCTAACAAAAATATTGTCAAGAGATTTTAGGCCCTCGAGGGCCCCCACCTTGCACTGCCCCCCACCTTGCACTGCCCTCTCCCCAGCACCTACTGCCCCAATGTAGTAATGTGAGGTCTTGTAGACTCATTATCATATCTCCCAATACAGTGAAATGTTTTATTTAGGCTCCCCAAGAGAGCTTCATATAGTACAATATTTATAGTAGGAGAATTATGTGAGGTGTATAACAATTAATGGAGCTGTTACATTCACTATATAAAAATGTAATATAATACAATAATGTTTTGTTAATGCCACCATGGGAATCATCTTGTTATTCTGAACCATGGTTTGTTGTAATATGAATTGATCAGGTCAACAAAAATGTTTTCTAATTATTTCATATTTATATTTGAACATACAGGCCATCAGAAATGTTTTTCGAATCATTATATGCTTGTTTTTGAGGATACTTAGAGAAATTATTCCTGTAGGCATACATGTGTTAAAGATATCAAATTTATGATGGTATGAAGCTTACCCTGTTGCAGTCCTTAATGTTCAAGACCCAATAAATAGTCCCAAATGTTTCTGTTAAGCTTAGAACATATTGTTAGGTCTAGAAACTTTAAACAGTCTTGTCAAAGATTGTTTTAATAGTTCACTTTTATCTGTTTTAAATCTTGCTAAAGACACAAGTGTCAAGGTCAAGAATGAAGGTTCTAGAAAATTTTGCTTCATTTGAAGGAATTTTTAGTTAATGGTCAGACTTGGTAAACAATAAAGATAAAATTTCTGTCATTGCTGATTATGTAAATGTACAAATATTAGGACATTTATATTCCTAGAGGACCACAACAACATAATGTTATTCAATGATGCGACTCGGCTATAAATTTCACCGTACCCTTTGCTGAAAATCATCACTATACATTTATTTTCTATATATTATAAAATATTCAACAGTTTCCCCAAAAAACATCACATAATTCACATTTAAGCCTTTCAGATATGCACAGACATTTGCAAATTTTGGTTGCCATGGTGGAAACATTATATTCGATAGTGTATAATATGTCCATTAACAAATTATTTTGTTGCATACATTTATAGCTGGATTTAGAGATTAAATGTATATGTTGTGATATATATTTAATTGACCAGTTTTATCGTAACTGTTCTTGGAATTAAAAAAAATAAATCATATTTGGATTTCATAGATATAGTGTAATTGCAAGCCTGGTGGAAGTTTAAAAAAGAACTGTTGCCGGAATAAAATTAATAATTTATTGCGGGGGTTTTGAAGGATAAAGATCACAGACAATGTGTTTTATCTAATGTTTGAACTCTGTAGTTTATTTATAGGCTGGAAATAAAGTGAAACTTTTTACTATCCTAGATCAAACAATGTCTGCGCATGTTGTATATATAAAAATTGTTTTATTAAGTCTTTGATCAAACAGTGTTATACATGTACATAACCAGACCTGGTAAATGTTGTGCTGTGGAAAGAAAATACTTTTTATCCCCAAAAATAACAGCACCACTTTAATATGGACGTTCATGTAATATGCTTGTTGACAAAAAGCGAAAGCAATAAAAAATTACATTAATTTTATACATGAAATTTGTTGTCTGCTGGGGAGAAAAAAGTTGGCTCCCATGATGCATCAGTTTGACATTGGTTGCTGTTGTCATTGTTGTTTGTGTGCAAGATGGTAAATTTATCTTGTTATTGAACATTTTATAATTTCATTTATGTGACACATTAGGATCTTCTTTATTCAAGGTTTTAATGATATTAACACCTGTCTAGGGAATTAATTTTATGATGCTGTTTTCTGTGTTTTTTTCTGTTATAAAGTGTCATGATTATAACATTATTTTAGCTATGAGATGTGATTTAATTCCATTAGAAAAAAAGTTTCACTAAAAAATGCAAATACAAGCCATATAATGGATAATTTTTGTTTGCTTATGTGCTCACGATTATTGTTTAAAACCTTTGGTGTAATGGATGTGTCAACTATCAAATGGGAAATCATTTATTTCAGGAGCCTATTGTACACAAAGTTGTCCAAGTCAATCTCTTGTCCTCTTGCACTGAAAGTGTTATATAACCATACAAAGTTTTATACAAAGTGTTATATAACCATACATGGGTGAATGTTTTTAGGAATAATTATGAAATCTGGATTTTATACTGCTATAAACCATTACTTTCCACATGTAATTATAAATAAAATGGCTAACCACAGAATTTTAAGGATTTTTGAATATCTGTCACCCATATATTTTAAGAGGGAATGTCAAATTCTTGTTCATTTGTTATACTTTATATGAAAGAATTATTTTATGTAATTTCAGCCCGTCACCTTCCCCACAGCACAGTATCTCTCAAGACATGCATTCCCGACTCGAGCTCTATGCAAACAGGTAAAATTTAAAGAATTGCAACGTAAATAAGTTAAATATTTATCTATATGTACATTTATCTGATATGGAACTGTTTGTTTTGGAACTGGTTCAGTTTTAAGGGGAAAAGAAGAATTGAAATACCACTTGACTGGTACCAATCTTGTTTAAAATCCCATCAGGGACTTTGGATTCTTTCATGTTAGGAAGCTATCCAAATAATGTAAAGGAAGTTTGTGCAAGCTTGTGACTAAAAAATGGACAAATGGGCACCTGAGGTGTATTTCTACCAGTCACTAAAGCTGGAGAGTTGTCATATGACCTGTACAATGTTGGTGTTATATGAAAATCTCAAGAGCCATAGTGCATGTTTGATATTGTTTGTGTAAATTACAGGTTAGCAGAAGTGGAACAGAGACAGGCTACTGCTGCACCTGATGTGTAAGTACTATGATATATTTACTATTGTACAAGTTACCGTAATTTACACACATATTTATACAGACATTTCATTTTTATATGCCCGAAAGGGCATATTATGTTATACCCCCTGGCGTCCGTCTGTCTGTCTGTCTGTCCGTCCGTCCGTCCGTACGTCCGTCCGTCCGTCCGTTAGCAATTTGGTTTCCGGAGCATAACTTAAGTTCCATTTGGCCCACAATGTTAAAACTTCATAGGATGATTGTCCATATTGGGTAGAAGACCCCTATTGATTTTGGGGTCAAAGGTCAAGGTCACTATTACCTTAAAACTGAAAACGGTTTCCGGAGCATAACTTAAGTTCCATTTGACCCACAATGTTCAAACTTCATAGGATGATTGTCCATATTGGGAAGAAGACCCCTATTGATTTTGGGGTCACAAGGTCAAAGGTCAAGGTCACTATGACCTTGATACTGAAAACAGTTTCCGGAGCATAACTTAAGTTCCAATTGGCCCACAATGTTCAAACTTCATAGGATGATTGTCCATATTGGGTAGAAGACCCCTATTGATTTTGGGGTCAAAAGGTCAAAGGTCAAGGTCACTATTACCTTAAAACTGAAAACGGTTTCCGGAGCATAACTTAAGTTCCATTCGACCCACAATGTTCAAACTTCATAGGATGATTGTCCATATTGGGAAGAAGACCCCTATTGATTTTGGGGTCACAAGGTCAAAGGTCAAGGTCACTATGACCTTGATACTGAAAACAGTTTCCGGAGCATAACTTAAGTTCCAATTGGCCCACAATGTTCAAACTTCATAGGATGATTGTCCATATTGGGTAGAAGACCCCTATTGATTTTGGGGTCAAAAGGTCAAAGGTCAAGGTCACTATTACCTTATAACTGAAAACAGTTTCCAGAGCATAACTTAAGTTCCATTCGACCCACAATGTTCAAACTTCATAGGATGATTGTCCATATTGGGTAGAAGACCCCTATTGATTTTGGGGTCACAAGGTCAAAGGTGAAGGTCACTATTACATTGATACTGAAAAATATGTTTCCACGCATAACTTAAGTTCCATTTGACCCACAATGTTCAAACTTCATAGGATGATTGTCCATATTGGGTAGAAGACCCGTGTTGATTTTGGGGTCAAAAGGTCAAAGGTGAAGGTCACTATTACCTTGATACTGAAAACAGTTGCCGGAGCATATGTTAAGTTCCATTTGGCCCACAATGTTCAAACTTCATAGGATGATTGTCCATATTGGGTAGAAGACCCCTATTGATTTTGGGGTCAAAAGGTCAACGGTTAAGGTCATCCTTACTAAGAAAAAAAATACTTTCGGGCATATAATGCTCCGCCTAGCGGTGCTCTTGTTTGAAAATGCTTTGGTTATTTTG